ATTCAAGAGGAACATTATCTGTTTCTCTTCTCCTGCAGCATGAAAATATGGGATAAATTGGTTGGACTTAAATAACTAAAATATGACCGCAGTATGAGCACTTCTCCTTACTCAGGAATAAACTAGTTGCTGGAAGATGTCATTATGGAAAGTAGAAAAATCAGATCTTCTGAGTAATCCTGCCTTTAGTCATACACATAAACCAAAAGGAAAATACTCAGAATTTTGCTAGCTTGTGGGTAACAGAACGATCTGTAATCATTACCTGAATATGATGCAATATACGCAAATAGGAGGAATCCAAATGCGTTATGAATGCTACACACCCTTTCTGAACTATCCAACATTAGTCACCAGAAAGAAGTGTATCAAGAAAGAGAACATTTCTGTTTTTTTTCCAGAAAGTTCTTTGCTCTGTATGTCACTTGCTACGTTTTCTTCTTTATCTTAATTTGAAATGCACTGCATGTACTACAACACTTATTACACATGGAAACCAGAAGCATGAAAGGAAACAAATGTCTTGTAAATTCCAGTTGTTTTTTTGTTTTAAGTTGCTGCTTAAATTCATTATTTAATTATATTAATATGATTAGGAGAGTGCACACTTATTCAGCACAAATGAATGACTTATGTGCAATAATATACATGTATCAAATGCCAGCTTTTCATTTGGTCTCAGTGGAGATAAAAATCTCTTTATTACTCATTCTTTAACTTGGAACAAATTGCAAAGCCTCTCCTGGTACTTCTACTTCAAGAGATGCAGGGCCAAGCAGAAGCAGATATTCAATTCAGATCATAGCATTTTAGGATTTGTTATTTCACAGAGAAGTTTTAAGAAAGTTCTCTTTTACCATTACCCTTCCATCCTTATATTTGGTAAAAAAATATACCAGAAACCTACTGTCCTGGTTTTGACAGGATGGATAGAGTTAATTTTGTTTCTAGTAGCTGGTATAGTGTTATGTTTTAGACATAGTATGCGAAAAATGTTGATAACACACTGATGGTTTTAGTTGTTGCTAAGTAGTCTTACTAAGTCAATGATTTTTCAGCTTCTCATGCCCAGCCAGCAAGAAGGCTAGGAGGGGAGAGACCCCGGACAGTTGACCCAAACTGGCCAAAGGGATATTCCATACTGTGTGACGTCATGCCTAGTATATAAACTGGGGGGAGTTGGCTAGGGCTGCATGGATCACTGCTTGCGGACTAACTGGTCATTGGTTGATAAGTGGTGACAAATCGCATTGTGCATCACTTGTTTTGTATATTCCAATTATTGTTGTTATTATTATCATTATTATTTTCTTCTTTTCTGTCCTGTTAAACTGTCTTATCTCAACCCACGAGTTTTGCTTTTTTTTTTTTTTTCCCCCTTTTTTTCTGATTCTCTCCCCCATCCCACTGGGTGGCAGGGAGCGAGCAAGTGGCTGTGTGGTGCTTAGTTGCTGGCTGGGGTTAAACCACAACATCAGCCAACCAGAACTCATGACTCCAGTCAAAGCTCTGAAAAGATGAAGCCTGGCTTCTCCAAAAAGCCGTGTGAAAATGACTCAGAGCAGGGACTAGGAGTGCTGCAGGTGCAATATACCATGCATGAACAGACGGGGGTTGGAAAGCAGCCTGTGCACATTCAAGAGTGCTGTGGTCCTTGCAGACTCAGGTTGGAACAATCTCCAAGATTGGCATGCTCCACAGGTGATAGAAATATTAATCTCATTCCTCTGCTATGCCTGTCTTGCAGATTCTTCTATTTTCATTCATAGATATTATCCACGTTTGGCTTTTTCCGGGGTTATCCAGTATCCCCATCTCTCCTATCCTCCCACATTGCTGAGATTTGATGGTAGGTAAATTAAAAGAACCTCTGAAGTATTAGAGAAGCTGCCCTGCATTGGCATCATTTTGCTCACCTGTCATTCCAAGCTGCCTGTCAATGCAGTGGAGAAAATGTAGTTCCTCATTAAGCCACAAGGGACAGTACTGGTCTGAGTTTGGGGCTACCCCTCGGGCCTTCCTGCCCCTCCCGTGCCCCCAAGCTGGAGCTAAATTCTTGGTGGGAAGTCTGGCAGAACAGGAATTAGGGAGTTGCTAGACTTCCAGGTAATAAGATCCTTCGAGTTTTAAAGAAATCGAAACTTATCTTGCTTCAGGGCAAAAACTTGCCCTTGTATAAAGGAGCATGCCATTCCTAGAAACAGCAACTGTTGGGAGCCTTGCAACCCCCTGAAAGACCCTGCCACTAGCTAGTCAAGAAACAGGACACTTTTCAGGCTGAGAAGTTGCTCTAAAAAAACCCTAAAGTCAATCAGGATGAATATGCTGAGCAGAGATGGGAGAACAGCACTAAGGATGTAAAACCAGAAATGTTTCCATCTGCCCAAGCCAGTAAAGCAAGCATGTTATCCTCCTTTCCACAAAAGCTGATGGCAACGCTGCAGGATGTCCTGCTAGGAAGGAATTATAATTGAACGCTGCATTCATAGTGGAGGAGCTCTGTTCTCAGGTCACTACAACATACAGATATAGTTATCTTGAGCAAGCTGCATGATAATGACAAAACTCAAGGAATTCCTTTGCACTCAAAAGAGAGAATGAAGCTTCCTATAGAGAATGTGCAGCCAAAACCAAGGTTAAAATGGTCCATAAAACCAGATAAAAACTTCACATGAAAATCTTTAACTCATAAAGATAATTAACAACTCATGAAGACAACTGACTCCATTCTGTCCCCAGAATTCATGACTGGGTGCGGGTGTGTAAAATATACGACAGGTATGACTCTGATGTTGGGCTTCAACAATGCCAACAGGGCACTATATAGATGTTTGCCAAAATGCAACAGGGCACTACACAGGTGACTTGTGATGACAAGTAGATAAAGGCTTCCTCTCCACCCTTCCCCCCAGTGTGAATATAAAAGAGAAGATAGGAAGACGATAGGAAGACCTCCATCTCCCAAATGATTAAAAGTAACAGTGCAAAATGTGACTAGCTCCTGACATCTTCACACCACCGTCTGAACTAACATTGCCTTTCCCATCTTCAAAAGGGCCCTACATCTCAGTTCTAATTTCAGGCCACAATTCTGCGCAGAGAGCATGTTAGGACCTCTGCTGTTCATGTTAAGAATATGTCCATGGCTCCTAATGAAACTGGGATGTTCTTGTGCAGAGCTTTGACCTGTGTGAAAAGAACAGAACTCCTGAGCTGCAGGTCCCCAGCTTACTCATCTCTGCACTCATGGGCTTGATAATGCAATGTGGAGGTGATGCTTACATGAAAGTATAGATGTAGAAAACCCTGTCATAAGTTGGAGTGGTTGGAATTGAAGCGGTGAAAAGGATGATCCCAAAAGGAAAAGAACAACCAACTTCTTATTGCTTGTATTGATGGGTCTGAATTCTTACCGGTAGAAGCCTCCCAAAGAAGTAATTGTGAGGCCTTCTCCACTCTATTTGAAGCTGAATGCCACCTGTGCAGTATAAACAGAACAAAACCACAACAAAACCCTCCTGTCCCAGATCAGCATGCACAATTGAAACACCACAGGCCAAGCTATCACCTGGGTAGTTGTTTTGTCTGCTTAACTTCTTTCTTGTGGCAAAGGCCATCAATGGGCCTGGATATTACTATCCCCAGCTGAACAACTGTTCAATGCCTTTGGCCTTCTCTAAGGCCAGACCACATCAGGATGGGGACTAAGAATTCAGGTGAGACTATCACAGCTGGCCAGAAAGAACTTGGGAAAACTTGCTATACTAGATGTTTACCTTTGGACATATGGTGAAAGATAAAAAGAGCAGTACTAACTGGTCACAACCATACTGGCCCAGAACATGACAAACCCACTTGGCAATACGCAAGCTGAGCAACATGATTCACACAGGTATCATCTCTGCATTTGATTTACTGTCATCCTCACCTAGGAACACACGTGGGGAAGGCACCTACCAACAAAATACACAATATCCTGCACGCTTAGCACCAGCCCTAGCCGACAACAGGGGTTGGTGCCCTTTGATAGGGCCCAGTTGGGCCCAGTGTAAGAACCCCTACCCACGGAGGGGAAGGGGGACACACAGGTAGCGGTACTAGCAAAGTCAGAGCTCAAACTGTGCAGACAGCGCCTGAGACCACATCACCCTGGCTGCAGGTGTCCCAGCCCCTCCAGACGACAAGGCTGGACGACAGACAGCCTGAACCTCAGGCTAGCTAGGAAATGAAAGGCACCCATGCCTCCTGTCTCCTCGCTGAGGCAGCTCCGCTTCCCCACCCTTCCACGGACGCAGAGCGGAACCCTCGGCAGGTCCCACCCGCTGCAGCACAGGCCCGGCGAGGCCTGACACGCCCTCGCCGCGCCCCTTCCGCCGCGGAGCGTAGCAAGCGGCCGTACCAACTCTCCCCCGCTCCCTAGAGACGCTTCCTTCCGCTGCTGATGGTGATGATGCGCGTCCGGTCCCTCCCAGGGCTTACGAGGAGACAGCAGTGAGCCCCGGGGCGGACTCCCTTCAGGGGGACGCTTGGCCAGCGCCCTTCCGGCCAGGGCGGAGCGCACCGCACAGCCACCGCCCACCAGCACCTGGCCCGGCCCGGCTCCGCCCGGCTCTCCCCACCCGCGGTCGCGGTGGTGGGCGGGTCCTGGTGGCGGGGCCTGCATGTAGACGCGTCCCCCGCCTCCCTAGTGCGTGCTGAGGTCAGGGCGGGCTGCGCTGCAAGCGCGGAGCAGCGGGGTCTGCGCTCGCGAGAGCCCCGGAGCTTGCGGGGGAGGAGCGCCTGGCTTGGGCCGGGCACCGTTCCGTCCCGCCGGGAAGTTGGGGGCCTAAGCAGAGCTCTTCCAGTCGTTGGCAGAGGAAGGGCGGCGTGTGCGCGGAGGGGGGGCGTCTAGCCCGCCCCGCCGCCCTGCTTCTCCATGCGGGCGGCGGCGGTGAGCTGGGCTGGCGCGCGGGGCGCCGGGGGCAGCGCGCGGTGCTGACAGGCCGCGGCCGGGAGAGATGATGGCCAAATGGCTGAATAAGTACTTCAGCCTGGGCAACAGCAAGACCAAGAGTCCCCCGCAGCCTCCGCGGCCCGACTACCGAGAGAAACGCAACGGTGCCGGCAGCGCGCCCCGCCCCGACGAGCCGCCGCACCTCCACCTTCACCACCACACGTCGCCCGGCTTTCCGCATCGCCGCCTGCGCGACGACACCAGTGACCTGCTCCGCGCCTACCGCGCCCAGAAAGAACGCGACTTCGAGGACCCCTACAGCGGACCCGGCTCGTCCCTGAGCAAGTTGCGCGCCATGTGCCGCCTGGACTACTCCACGTCCGAGGACGTGGGTGAGGCAGCCCCCAAGACTTTCTCCTCCTCGTCGTGCTGCGCTGCACCCCCTGCCGCCTGTGCAGCCGGCTCCGCACACCTCTTTCGCAGCCACAGCGAGCGCCGCCCGGCGACGCCGCCCAACGTGAAGTACATCTCCCCCAGGCACCGGCTTATCAAGGTCGAGAGTAGCGATGGCGCAGGCGAGAAGCTCAACAAGGGCTCCAAGCAGCTGGCGACCTCTGTCCCCTCTGCCATGAAAGATAAAGTAAGTGTTGTGCTCCTGTTCCTGCCCCGGTAGACTAGGTAGTAGGGCTGGGGCTATGCCAGCACCTGGAATGATTCGTGGTGAGGGGACTAGCTCCTGTCTGAATGCATCTGGAGTGGCCACTGCACTCCACCATGCATCATGGGGTGGCCTGGCCCTTTTTCATATCTCGGGATAGGCAGGGCGTGTGCAAAGCTGGCACATGAAGTGGTGGTGCCCTGTCCTCTGGGCTTTCGAACTCACATCCCTTCTGATAGGGCAGGTTTGCAGGTGTGCCTAGCCCTGCTCTGGGGCACAGTGCACTGCCAGCCTCATTGGTATCAAGGCTCTTGGATTGGCATGTTCCTGCAGAAGAGGATGTTGAGTCTTTGAGGGGGTGCTTGGGGACCTCTAGAGTCACTTGAGAAGCCCTCTGCTTCTGACTCAAAGTTTTGGCCTCAGCCCCATTGCATGTGGTATGGAGCGGTCATATATAAAAAAACTAAAAAAAAAAAAAAAATCTGATGCCATCCTGAGTCAGACTGCCTGTTTTTAAGGAGACAATTTATCATGTGTTCAGTAATAACTTCTTTGCCTCCTACTTCACTGTGAAAGGTGAAGTAGTTCAAAGTCCTGTGTTACAACAGCATCACAACTTCCATGATAGCTGTGTTTCCAACTGACAGGTACCTGAAGCAAACTCTATAGCTACTGGCTCAGTTGCAATTGTTCTCCTATCTTTCACTGGTCGTTGTCTACAAATATTAACAAAATGCTGTAGCACTGGGAAGTGCTGGGCTCAGGAACTTGGGTTACAGCTGGGAAGCTTTGCAGAGGGAAGTAGCTTTAATTATTTTGTAAGCACAACACATATCCCCCCACATCTGTTGGTCCTGTGAGTATAGTTTAGTTTTTTCATATATTGGATATTAATATTCCTCCATTTTGTAAATTGGCATTACTTCCATGTAACAGTCACATCACAGGAATTCTAAGTATGTGCTGAACGTTATCAATTTAAATGATCTGTGTGTATATGTTTAAATACGTAACATGAGTGCATTGAAGAGTGAGTGACACATTTCCATGAACCTGATAAATTATATCCTGTCCAGGTGGAATTCCAAATAAATCAGCTTGTGATGGTACAAGATTAAAAGTCTAGAATTTATTACAATGTCTGTCATTTTACCTGTAGTTCCTGTCTGGAAGCAACTTCTTTTGTGGAAGTAAAATCTCACTATGTTACAGTCTCAGTATAGTGAGTCTTCTTTCAATTGCCTGTGTTGATGATACCATTTCTCTGCTCTTAAGCAAATAACTTTCAGCAACTTCATATGTCAGAGAAAATAACTGCTTGGGGCAAAATGCTTCCAAGTGCAACTGCTATTCCTTTTTTTTTAATGGGGCATGATTTTATTTTTTTTTATTATCTTTCAGTTTTAGACCCTACTGAAGCAATTGTCAAAGCAGAAACTATATCTGTTGCTGGGTAACCTGCTACCTTGTGTGACCATAAATCTGTGTGCTACTCCCAAGCCCTTGCTGCAGGTTCTAAAACTTGTTTTGAATGAGCAGCATACAATTTTTTTAGAAAAGATGCAGACCACTCATGTCATAGTCACATTCTTTCTGCTTCTGAGAGAACTGTTTGTGACAAACAGGCAATCTTTAACATGTCTGAGAAATAAAATTGTCCCTACGCCTAAAAAGTAAGTGTGCCTGCCCCACCCATAACAGAATTTGGTTGCAAGGAGCTACATAGCTTGCCTTTTGTTCAACTGTGATATTTCCTCCCAGTAATGGAGATGAAATTTCTCTTATTTCACAGCCCTGAAATGTAAAGCCCGACAGGTGAACCTGATAAGCAGTGCTTGTAGTGAGCAGGCAGAGAACTGCTGCTCTCCTACACCTGTCATTCCCTGAGGAGAAAAAAATGAGGAATTTAGTTAACAGAGTGTGTCCAGTGGCAAATAAAGCCAGTGGAAATAAACTTCTGTAAGAAGTATATAGTAGAGGGGACAGTAAAGTTGGTATTAAAAAAACTAGAGGTCTGACATTCAGAAGAGTTGATAGAAATATTAAAAGCACTGCAGGGAAAAAAATCTGTGGGTAGTATACCTTAAGCTAGTAAGTACCTTAGGAATGAAAAAAGATCTAGTTGCTGTATAGGTCTGTCATTACAGAAGTATGTTAGTGTTTAACAATCCAACAGTGTGCACTAAATGCTTGTGTTGTGTTCCAGCACCTGTTTTTTTTTTTCTTTTTCATTTACAAGGATACAGTGCTGTTTTCCTTTATGTGTTAACTGAGAAGTGAGAAGTGTGGTTTTCAACAAATTCATTGAGCAATTTTATAACTTTTGTGACTGGTCATCATAAAGATTTGGCTGGACAGCTCAGTTGTGTGTTAAACTTGGAAGACTTTCTAGAATGGGAAGGAGATTCAGGAAGGTGCTTGTTTAGTGTGGTTACTTATAAAGGACAAATGGTAAAGTATGAATAAGGACAGACTAGTTAGTCAAAATTCCCAGGAAAAAAATGACTGGCTGATTCAGGGAGTAAAGGAGATGGAGATTAAAAGCAGTGGCAGGCATGATCGTATTTTGCAAGATTCCAGGCACAGGTTGTAAAAGTAACCACAGAGATCTAATGTACCTGGGGTTCAGGAAGCTTTGATGTGTAGAGGTAGAAGTACTGACTAAAGTTGAAGCAGACAAACCCAAATTGCCATGCATCTTTAATAGTGAGGTGACTAGCTTCTAAAACAGATGCCCAAGGGAGTCACCATTGCCATATGTCTTTGAATTCGAATTGTTGGGTGGATTTTTTATTTAGGTAGTACAATCAGGCAGGTTTGGGGGCTTTAACAGTGATGCTTATCTTCAAACAAGGGAGAGCAGGCTATGTTAGAATTCATGGCAGAAGCAGCTCAGTTCCTCCAGCATGGAGGATAAGAAATTAGTGGCTTCCATCTTTAGTGCTAGCCTGGGAGATGTTAACTTCTTAGTTCTCCTGTGGCAGACAAATGAGTGTAGACAAGCCAGAACAACATAAGAAATTAGTGGCTTCCGTCTTTAGGGCTGGCCTGGGATATGTTAACTTCTTAGCTCTCCTGTGGCAAATGAATGAGTGTAGGCAAGCTGGAGCAACATGTGGCTGTATGCCAGAACAACCTGGCGGCCACTATATTTGTTTAAGAATAAATGTGAGACTTGGCTTAACATCAACTCAACAGAAAAACCACTTGGTGAACTGAGGATCTAAAAGAATGAGCTGAATACTTCCTGAGTTGACTGTCCTCTATCTGGCATTGTGTGGTGTGTGTAAATCCATGAAAGTGGTAATAGTTGAGGGGAAAGTGTCTGTGTGAAAGGATGCTTTGTGTATTTTCTCACCTGTTATGCTTTTTGAACCTAAACATTTCTTTGCCTGGCTTTGCTGCCAAAGAACCTGGACCACTATTCAAAGAGCAAGTGTGTCATACTCCGTTGCAGGAAGTTCTTAGGATTTAAAAGCTGGGATTGTAGCCTAGTTGTCATTTAAAAGATAATTATTTCGTAAGGAGCAGCATTTTGCACTTCCTCTGTGCAGTGGAGGCAGAACTGTGCAGCAGTTCCCGATATGGAATGCAGAAGACACTGCAAGTTGCAAGATCCATTTCCACAGGACAGGACATACCTGATGCTGTAGAAAATAGCTCAGTTCTGCACAGGCAGAGCTAGTCCAGTGCAAAAGCATGTAAATGTTTTGTGGCAGCAGCAATCAGTCAGGAAACTGTTCAGGGCAGCATAGTTGCTGACTTGATTTACAAAGGTCTGAAAACAATGTCTATGTGCAAATTCTATACTTGTATAAGGAAAAAAACCCCTTTTGTTTCCATGCAATCCCGCTCAGAAGTGTGTGGCACAGAGATTTGGCTGCTAGCTAAGCTAAACAGCTAAAGCTGTTTGTCTTGAAAGCTTTCCCCCCATTATGTAAGAAACAAGTACCTTTCTGACATTGCAATACACTATGGAAATGCTGTTTGAACTTTTAAGGTCTTGCATAAAAGTGCTTACACTCCATGGAACATAATTAATATGTGTATATAATTAAAACCTTTTAGTAAACATTGAGAAGATGTTTGTCTTATTTCTGCATATGGAAGGTCTAAGTTTTATTTGATCTTGCAAGTGAGAACAAGTCAGGTGTATTTAAAAGAATCTTGCAGCTGGTATTCCAAGGTGCACTGAGAAAACACTTGAAAGATGTCTAAGCAGTGCTGGAGTTATTTATATCAAAGTATATAGTTTCTAGAAATCCTAAACTACAAATGTAACTCTGTCTTATTCCCACATTTAATCCGTTGCAGCTGGGTGTCAGGATGCCACTCTTTACAATTGATTCTACTCTGAGACAGTCTTCCTCTCTGCCTATGGTTCCCATGGACATATGGTTCTGCCTTTGAATCAAAGTTCTCAAGAAAAAGATACCAGTGGCCACTGGTCTTGTGAACCTACATGAATGCCTTGGGCAAGGCCACATATAAAGGCAGCAAGCAGCATTTTTTCCAAGTATCTCATGTTGCTGTATTGCAGCTAGAAATGCATTTTTCCACATATGCCAGTCTCATGATTAAGGGACTATCACAGTCTTATGAATGGGAAAATATTCAGTTATTACCTGAGCATGTGGAGTCTTAGTGACTTTAGGGCTGTTTGAAGTGATGTGGTAAGACTGTTCAGTTACAAGTGTGCCTGGCATCTGCACTGCATGGCGTAGCTTGGAACAGTCTCAGCTCTGGGAACCATCCAAATTTTCAGACTCTTGGACACAGAGAGATCCAAGCAGAGAAAGGCTATCAGGAAGGAGTATGAAGCAGTTAGACACATGGAGATCGAGAGAGGGAGTGGTAGCCTTCTGGAAGAGTGTATCGTGTATACCCTTACAGTAAGCAGATCCAAACCATTGAAAGAAAGTACCTCAGTTACTGGATTCAAGTGAAAAGACTGACTTGCCCCTTCTGAGCTAAGGCGTGCT